CAGTATTTAGTAGAAATCCAGACTGCTATTTAAAACAGCAAATTTGGTAGGCCCCTGAGTAACATCTGTGGAGTGCTTCTGACTGTGGTAAATGTGCTAAGTATATTGGTAAGAAGAACGAAAAAAAGTTTTAAAAATTATACAATTTAAAAATTATACACTGAATAGTGTGCAATTTAAAGGGAAGAAGCTTGTGATGACATGAGATATCTTTCTAATGACTTCATTTCAACTTGTATGGACTGCTGATGTCAGGTGAAGATTGTATCAGATGGGAATTTTCGAACTCGGTTGCTTTCCTTTTTGCATAGTCTTTTTTGACTTATTTTAGTTAACTTAGCTGATATCTTGACTGCTGCTTTTGGAAATCAAAACCATTCCTCTTATGATTAGTAACAGATAAAGTGTAATTGATTTCAAGTAAATAATAGGTCATACATAGGTGGTTCTAAGAAAGCTTTGGGATTATAGGTAAGGATGGAAGAAAAAAGCTATTTATCCACATATGGAAGTAGGTATGTGGGGGCCTATTTCAAAGAAGATCTAAATATCAGAGAGAAGGAAAAAGTATGTTCCTAATTTGGTTTTACAATATATAAATATCCATAGACCGTTTTGTCTTTTATCTTCATTTATTGTGTTTCTCATTTTCTTAGCATTTTCTCCTTTACTTGTGCTCCATTTTTTTTTTTTACCTCTCTCTCTCCTCGGATTTACAGGGTGCTGTCCAGTTGAATCTCATTTCTGAATTCATCAGATTTTTTTTGTACTGACTGGACCATTTCAGAGACTGGAATGTTGACTTATTTCACTTACAGATATAACACTGCCAAGCAGAATGATGTGAGAGGGGAAGAAAATGGTAGAAACAGAGAGGAAGCATTTTTACAAGCTCAGTGGTGTTAGTGGAAAAATGTAGAGGCACGTTGCGTTTTTAGAGTAAATACTAATGCATACAGAAATCTATATGCATTGTGCAGAGAAAGAGAAGTAAGAAAGCAAAACGAGTAAACAGTGCCATTCTGACAGGGCCTTAACACTTCTCACATTACAGATGAAAAGAAACACGGTCAAAGCTTTTTGGAAAGTAGTGTAAAGGAAACATAATCTGGAAAAACACATTAGAAAGCCACTGGCATAGTGGGATTGTGATTCATTTTTTCTTTTAGTCTTGGTCTTGCAGCTAATAAGATTTCCAAGTGTCAAGTAAATTTAATTAAAAGGTAATTCTGTCATCTTGGCTTATACTTTCATATGTGTTCTGTAACACTCCGGGCTACATTAGGATGAAATATAAGCTTGTATGTTTATATGTGAAAATCTGCATTGTATATTGCTTCTGATGAAAACCACGTTTATAAATGTAAGGCAGTGTTATTAGAACTGTTCATTGGACCTTTTTATTTTTTAAAGAGTCGTCTGGTAACTTGGAAAAGGCACTATTCGTGGGTTGGCAGCAGCTTGAATAGCTGCATTAGAGCTTGGCATGCACTGATACTGTAAATGTATTTAAATTAAATGGGTGTTATGTAATGTTCTTTTTAATCTAGGAAAATATCATATACTTGTGGTACAAGTGTGGTGTGTGAAATGACTTCTGTAAACAGTCGAGACAATTGTATAATATTACAAGCCTTCTGGTTTATTAGCAGAAGTTCTTATTAAGGAGAAGTCTTCTCTGCAAACGTGTAGGCATAATCATCTGGCATAAGAAGAGAAATCACAGCTCTATAAACAGTATAGGAGTCACCTAAGAAAAAAAAGAAAAATTCTGTGCAGATGCAATTTCTTCTGGATGAAGTCTTTTGTCAGTATTATTGACATTCAGGAAGGTAATTAAACTACACAAATTAAATGATTATTTTTGCTGGCATAATCTTATTTCTAGTAGAGGACAGGTTTCATCGTAGCTATGATGGTGAAGCTTAACCAGAAAGATTGCTGCAAGTGCTTTTATTTCTGGGAAAATGGAAGTTTGTGAAACTTGCAGTAATCTGATTTTTATTCTCTGAACTTCATTTACATGAATGTTCAGATTATGTTGGGTGCAATCACTCTTTAGACTGTCTCTTTCAGACACACGTGCATCAACTTAGAGATGCTGTTTAGTTGATTTCATTTACACTGCTACGACTTCTGAAACAAGATCTCAGGAATTGTGATTTTAAGCCTAGTTATTTATAAGGAGAGAACTGTCCAGATAAGATTATGAGGTCTCTTAATTTAGAGAAGAGAGACAGAATTTTCTTCATCATTTACAACAGATAGCCATTCTTTTGTTTAGTTCGTGGAGATACCAAGACTTGAAATATACAAAGTGCCTTGAAATATATGGAGGCACTACTGGAAATCTGTCTTTATATAATACCTTGCTTCCCTTCTGTGGTCTGCTGTAATTTCCTTTTCTTTAGTAATATATAAAATAACTGCCACTCTTCACTGGCCTTCACAATGTTTGTAGGGCTTTACTACGTGATAGTTCTCAGGAAAATTAGGACAGATTAATTAAAACTAGTGTTAGTATCTTCAAGGATGTGAAAGTTACGTGAAGGTCTTTTGCCTCAAAAGTAAGGTAGTTTTAATTTGCAGTACCTTAATGTATCTCCAAGGTTTTGCTACTCATGAATTTGAACATCCATGTGGACGTATGATGCACTTCAGTTTAGTATCTCTGACTGCATAATACTTAGAAATTCATTTAGATTTAAATATCTTGTAGTGTAGTGATTCTTATTCTTGAATAAAATTGTCTTTCTCAGTTACCTTAATCGTATTTAGAAATAAGTTAAGCTAATTTGTATTGAGATTCTGTTTTGCCGTAGTCACAACATACTCAGAAATAGTTAATCAGTAACAAGTGTTTTAAATTGACTCGTGTCCTTTGTTAACTTTCTTGCTGTCCCAACGTAGAGAAACCCTTAAGTTGGTCAATGATTTGATATATGCAATCTGGGTTGAGTAGCTTGCAGTGACATTTCCTTATATATTGAGATGTCTTGAGAACCATGCCAGTTGATAGACTGTCTAGTGAAGGAGATACTGATTTGGTGTGTATGTAAGTATATTTTTTACAAACTGACCACCTTACTTCAAGAAATGGCTACGTTATTATTCCAATTCTATGAGAAAGTAATCTGGGAGAGAGGTGTGTTGATTGCAGCAACCAAAACTTTTATTTATAACGTCTCTATCTATTTGGCCAAAGTCATAAAGGAAATCCTTGAAGACTAACTCAGGAAAATTTATTAGAAATGCTTTCTAGACTTTCAGCTTTCTGTGTTGCAGGAAACATCAATCAGCAAACAATTGAATCTTCCTTGTGTGAATGCTTCTGTTAGCTTCTGGACCCAAATTTATTGCTGGAGGTTTAGAAACTTGATGGTTTAATCTACAGAAATTCAGGTACTTGCAGAAGTTGATGGACTGACTTCTTCAATCTGGAAGAAATACTCCATACTGGGTTTATCATCCAGTGTGTGAAATGTTAAAACCACTGAATTTTTAATATTGAATAAATTCCAACAGCAACTTTGGTTAATACCTGCCTTGCCATTATCTGGCAGGAATTTGTAAAGATCTGGACCTCTCCACTTATGTTACAGGTGGCAGCCTCGGGAGCTCTGATTTTCCAGGGCATGAGAGAGCTTGGCACTACTGCTGATTCCATATTTGAATGGATTCCTATGGACCGTTAGACTCAAATTCACCAGGTGCTCACCAAACCTCCCTTCGAACCTGTCGTGAAGAGTTAAGTGTTCTCTAGTGCCATCAAAGTCATCTTCTTTGGTATGGGAGGTAAAGTGAGATACATGCGCTGTCCATCAAAGAAGTGTTCCTACATTTCTTGGATAAAATCATCTTGTGAACAAACTCCAGCTACATAAAGATCAGATAAACTTTACGTTGAGTCTGGGATCTCTGATTTCATTTCTGGGACATCAGAGATTGATTGATTGTTACTTACTTAAGCAGGGTATTTTCCTTTTATGTTAACAAATGTGCTGTCCTCCTTAACCTCTGCCGCTTTTCACTGCGGTTACTAGGAAAGTTGCAGGCTGCTAAAGCAGGTGTTTCCAAGTGGGAGTGTGTAAAGAAGCAGGTAGAGAAAAGAAACAGACAAAGACGTGTCCCAAAATACTTATGGCCCATTACACTAGGGCTGTAGCTGAGAAATAGAGACTGCATGAAAGAAGTCTAAGACAGCTAAGCTAGTCGCCTTTCTGTTACATTGTTAAACAATCCCTTATGGAGATGGGTGTTTCAGGGAGTTTTCTGATCGGGGGTTTGGTTGGGTTTTTTTAATGATATATTTAGTCTCTTCTAGTCTGTCCTAATTATTTATGCTTTTCTTTTATCATTCCTATTTTCTGTACTGTTTCTCTTTCCTAATTCCTGGTAGTGTCTCCAGATTGGTAGATATGGCATGTGCATGAAAAAGGACCATTTTGTTCCTTATCTGTAACTTGACCTTGTATTACACATATCCATCAGTCTGGAATTTATCTCCCTTCTTTTTACGACTAATAAATCTTATTGCTCTCAACAGGTTTGGTTCTTTTGGCATGCCTCTGCCTTATTTCATGAGGAGGAGAGGAAAAAATGTACAGAAACTGCTTCTCTTTGATGTGGTTGGGATTTATTCTAAAAACGCTCGGTATTGATGGATATGTAATTTAACAAATGTGTAAAATTTACTGATTTAATATTCAAAAAGTCTTTTTGCTGTTGTCTTTTCTCAAACAGTTAGATAGATTCAAAGAGCCTCCAGCATTTGGACCAATGTGTGACTTATTGTGGTCAGATCCTTCAGAAGATTTTGGAAATGAAAATTCACAAGAGCATTTCAGTCACAATACAGTCAGAGGATGCTCGTACTTTTATAGGTGAGATTATGCTATGATCTGTTTGATGTTTTAATGCTGACTCTTGCTACATGTTTTGGGATAATTTCTTTTACTCATAGTTGTTTTCATTTCACAGCTATCCAGCAGTTTGTGAATTTTTGCAAAATAATAATTTGTTGTCGATCATTAGAGCACATGAAGCACAAGATGCAGGGTAAGTACTCAGTGTCCTTCAAGAAATTATTCACAGTGTAAAATAAAAATTAATTGCAAAATTAATTGCTTATTGCTCTAAGATGTAAAATAATCTGTTTGGTTTTGCAGTTATAGAATGTACAGGAAAAGTCAAACTACAGGGTTCCCATCATTAATAACAATTTTTTCAGCACCTAATTACCTGGATGTCTACAATAATAAAGGTAAGAACTTGTTATTAATAACTGTATGTAATAATAAAATAAAAATGTCTTACTAGGTAAGTCATCTAATATCAGCAATTTTTGCCAGGTAAGAAATTAAATGACAAAAAAAAAATCCTTTAATAAAAGTTGTATTATGAGCACATGACATAAATGACTATCTCTTATAAGAGTACCTTGAAGCACAAGCGTGGGCAAACATTTCCTTTGTAAAAATTATTGCTATTTAGTACTTATGAATGTATCAACTAGTATTTTCCAGTCAGGCGAGGCTTTCCTGTGCTGAGTTTTCACTCTTCTGATTGTCTTTAGTTTGTGAACTAAGTAGGGAAGGGAGGAAGCATTGATCGGCAGCCTATGCGTAAGGTAGTTTGTGTTGTGTATCACGGCATCTGAGAGTCTAACTCGGACAGAAGTTACATGTGAATGAACTCCAGGAATGTGAATTGTGGTAGGTACCTTGGTGAAGAAGAAGAAAACCCACTGTCTTATAAATAAATGGTCACTGGGAAGAAAATTAGACCAGGAAGGTGTGTGTTTAGTGATGATACAGGGCCATAGTGGCCGTGTCTGGGAAATCCAGAAAGAGCAAGTACTGATCTTAAATACTGAACACCATGGGAAATGTTATTAGGGAGGTGTAAAACAAAGGCATTACTTTTTGTCCATCCTCTGCTTAAGGTAAAGTTACTTAACAGTGTGGAGAAAGATCTGCAAGTCAGAATTACATAGAAGAGCTTAACTGTGAATTAATGTTGTTCATAGATGAGAACAATGTTCAACAACAGAAATCATTAAAAATGAAGCCTACTGAAATTCATGTATGACATTAAAGGATGACATTTCAAGTATGTGATAAATGAATGATCTCCAAATGTTCAAATATTGTTCTTTTGAAACGAAGACCTCTTTTCTATTGAATACATTGCATTTTCTCCCACTCACCTTCAAAGAACCAACCCCCCAACCCATACCACTTACGCAGGGTGATTAACTGTATAGAGGAAAAGATGAGCTGTTGTTACTTGCACTGATTGTAAAGCAAAGGAGAAATAAAAATAGTTTCAACTGGCTTTTTACATTTTTCACCATCTCCGTGGATATTGGGGTTTTAGAATCCTTTTTAACATCAGCTATTCCCAGTGTAGTGCAAGCTTAAGTATGGAAAAATGCAATCAATGCTTATTTAGCTTTAGAATGCTTCTGTTTTACTGCTTTGTGTCTCTGTGCTTCCCCTTCTCCCTGATCTTGTAGGTTTCTATGGTTTTACTCCAGGCTTACAATGTGGGAAGACACATATGAAGAATAAAACCTGATTTGAATATGCTGCTGGTTTGAGTTAGGATTCTGTTAAAGTTGCTGAAATTATACCTTTTCAAGACCTTTTAAAATCTTTGTTCATTATAGACCTGTATTAGAATAGTACAGAACTATACTTGCATGTAATGGTACCTTAAACAGCAACATTTTCAGTAAAATAAAATCCAAAGTTCTCCATTAGAAATCTGTCCTGTAGATACTGTGAAAGAAAGAATGGAGTATCTCTGGGTTTATTTTGTCTATAGTATAAAATAGAGCTAAACCAACCCTGTCACTTTACATTTGTGGTACTCACAAGTTTTGAACTGTCTTTCCAAAATGTCTTAATTTTATTTTAGCTGCTGTATTAAAATATGAAAACAATGTGATGAATATTCGTCAGTTCAATTGTTCTCCTCATCCTTACTGGCTACCAAATTTTATGGATGTTTTCACATGGTCTTTGCCATTTGTTGGAGAAAAAGGTAGGCAAAAGTTACACATCAATTTATTTTTTTGCTGTTTCTCCCAGATCAATGATGGGAAGATTTTTTAAAAATATATTTACCAATGAGAGATTAATCGTTTAATTTTTATGAAAATTGGTGTCTGTCTTTATCAGGTAGACTTCTTGGATGCTTAATTAGAAAGAAGAGTTGGTAAAGTTGTTAAACTCATTTGGGAGGGTTTTTTTGGCATTTGAAAATGCCACTTCTGAGAGAGGATAGACTGAAATACAACTTGTTCTACAGGGTTTGGTTACTTTCTTCACCTGTTTCAGCCAAGATAGTTAAAACTGCATCTAATAAAGCAGAGATGTTAACAGAATATAATTCCCATGGAGGGTATATACCTGCATTGTTAAGTAGTACCTTTGAACCGCATTTGAAGTCAACATAAAAATTGTTCATACTCCTCAAAATGCTAGGGTTATATACATTATTAATCTTGTATCATTATAGGTATAAACTATCTTGAGACGTTCATGTAAAATTTTAACTTTTCGATATAGTTACAATAGATCGACCTTCATTATAAGGTTAACTTTTTCAGTTACGATTTTTCTTGTAAAAAAGATAATTTAGCATAGATACTTCCTCCCTGCCTCCCCGAGTTGATAACTCTGAATCTAGGACACTGGGGCTCCAAGTAGTCTTCCGTTAAAAAGCAATGAGGTTAGAGACAATTTGGGTCTGTTTAAAATCCTTCCATGACAGGATCTGCTCTTTTTGTAAAAGAGATCTGGAAGGCTCTCTACGTTTCTTTGAAAAGTATTCTTGAGATGATATATTTAGAATCATATAAGCCTAGGATTCTGTATTTGTTTATATTGTCTTTAGTGAGCAGTGAAAAGCAAATAATTTGTACGCTTTTTAGTGGGGTTAACCCACTCAACATTTTATTTTTTTATAATTTTTAAACGGAGGGACCTGAGATTTTTGTTTATATCTCTCTTACCTGACAATGCAGTAGATAACTCTTTGCTGTTGAAAATGTTAATAGTGTTTTTTACTTTTGTTATGATTCTGGTAATGAGACACCAAGTACCATTAAATAAGTTGCTCATTGACCCGCTGTATGCTTAAGACTACGGGAACCATGGCCCTTGTAGTTTGTGTTACCTTTGGACAAATACATGCTTCCACTTTTGATGAAGGATACAGTGTCAATGTTGTGTGGTCTGCGTTGAACAGGTCAAAATTAGAGTAATTTGTTTGTGTTTTTTCAATAGAGATTAACTCTTTTCCCAAGAATGAAGAAGAATATCATAGCAGATAATATAGGGATTGTATGAATTAGTCATGAATAAATGTAGACAGCAATTCACAGGGTTTTCAACTGTCTGACTGAACTTCTGGAAGAGGTTTCTGAACACTCTAGGAGAAGTTTGACTGTTTTTCTTAAGAAAGAATCTGATATACGTGGGAAAGATTGAGTAGCAGTATAGGGAGATTCCTGGAGAAAGAAAATAAAAGCGTTTTGAGACAAGATTGTTTATCCACTATGTCAGTATTTTTAAGGGGAGTTTGAAAAGGCATGTAGTTTGCACCATATCTATATTATAATATTTTTCTGCTTCAGTGCTTCTGCTACATGCCTGCAGGTGCCAGGAATGTGGAATAGCTTTCTCGTTTTAAACTTAAATTTGAGTAGTCGAAATGTTCTCATATTTAAGTAACTTTTGCATAAAAACTGGTTCAAATACTTGTCCTAAAGTAAAAATAATAGTATATAGAAGAGAATTCTTATCTAAAAGAAATCCTTGTAAGATAGGAGATAAAGCTCTTCTGTGTTCTTTGGTTGTTAGGTGGTACAATTTTTAGCTACTTACTTTTCTGAGCTTTTTTAATTCTGTGACAGTGCACATCAAGAATGCCACTTATTTTTGGAACCAGATTACTGAGCAATGGCTATGATGTGGGAAGTTCATTCACTATGGTTGCTGGTGATTACTTATATCTTGTGTGCTTGGAAATATTTAAAATTCTATAGGGAGTGAATTAAGATTTATTTTTTCCTATACAGTAACAGAAATGTTGGTGAATGTTTTGAGCATTTGCTCTGATGATGAACTGATGACAGAGGGAGAAGATCAATTTGACGGTAGGGGTAACTTTAAGATATATAAATCTTCTTAATTGTAAACAGTAGTGGACTTAGACTGGGGTAATATTACCCGGAATTTGAAGAAAATTGACTTCAAATTTTTCTTTAGATAATGACACTTTGGGGGGCAGAGAAGGGAATTGTGGTTTTGTGTTTGTGATCAAGAAGCGGTAATGGTATCCTTTGCAAATACTCACATCTGATTTCTATTTGAAACTGAAACTTTTGGTGGAAAATTCTCAGAATTTCATGGCACTTTAAATTTGAAACATACTAAACTTTGCTAGTATTTAGAATAAATTTGTTATAAGATCTTAGATTTCTTAATGATTGCTCTTCAATAAAGACTTTATATAGGTGAAAGTCAGATATAATATTTCTTATGGCAAAGTACTATACAGAAAGTATGAAATACTAGTTTAAGTCTTGGTGTTTGAGTTTAAAGCATAAAAATAGAAGAACTTTTATATGTACATTGTATAATGTATTTATGTAATGAATTATAACATCTTTCTGTCTCGCAAACTATGATATAGTAGATTGTTAAAAAGATGTTTGTAACATGATGATTAAGAAGCAACATTAACATGAAGACCTAGCATATCACACTTTGTTTTGTTGTTTTTTTACAGTAGTGCTTAATGTCACACCTAAAAGTTTCTCAGACTTGCTGTGTTTTATCCAATAGCATATCTGATTTGGTGGATTGTTTGGTTATGGGGGAGGAGGAAGGAAAGTTTCAGCAGCCTTTGAGGAACACTAAAGATCATTTATAAATATATCAGAGACATGACCCAGTTCTTAATGTTTGATAACTACTGTGTTCAAATTCAGTAGTAGAATAGCGTTGTTGTAAGCAGCTGTGTGGTTTAGATTGGAATGCATTGGTTATGAACCGCTTGAACTTTGCTGCCATGTAGATTGTTGCCAGAAATGTGGAAACTTAGAAATAGTGTCAAATGGTGATCCTGCAAACAGTTAATTTGTGTTTTCCATTCAGGCAATCTTGGGCATAAAGCAATTGCACCAAGCATTTGCAGGGTGGGGTTGGGTAACATTCTGAAACGTTAGGATTTAGGTTGTCCAGCATAAGTGCAGTCATCAGTTGATTGCATATGCTCTGTCTTTAGTATAACAGTTGCAGTTTCCTAATTTGAATTATTTTATTCTTCCATCTCCTTTAACAATTTCTTTGCTTGATGCATCTCTTAATGCCACCTAGGTACTGTCTACGCTTTATCTTTCTATGTGAATGGGTTTTTTTTAACTGTTGACTTTCATGCTTTCACTTGTTTATTGTCAAATTTTAAAATACACTCAACAATTCCACTTCTTGTTCGATGAATGCATTTTTAAGTGTTGCAATTTTCCATTTTATTTTTCACATTTCTTCTCCATTCCTTTGTTATTACCACTGCCAAGTTAAATAGCTTTATTTTATTTGTCTCACTCACCTTTTTCTGCATCGTTCACTTCCTTTTTTTCTGGACTCTCCATCTGAAGAGCGACTCATATATGGCAGTAAAAAAGGTACAGACCAGACAGAGTAGGAGTGTTTTGAAATATGACTTCATGGAACCTGGCAGTATAAGTATTAATGCAGAAAATACCTTTCTGTTGAGAGACATACATAGCATTTTTTTATTATTACCCATTTTAATGGGATGTTTACAAAGATTTGTGTATTTTGTTATCAGAAGTCATATTCCAAGACATCTGTCTTTCTGTGCATGATTTTTTTTCCTCCTTTCTTCCATTCCTTTTTTTGTGGAATTTCATTCTTTTCCTATTTCTAAAATTTTATCTTTGGTCCTGCATGTGTAGGGAGCGTTCAGTTGTCTGTCTTGCTCTTTAATAATTTTATCGTGAGCTTTTTTAAGATTGTGCATGGAATGTGTTTATACATAATGTTCCAAAACTTGGCTTGTATAGTACTTCTAGTTTCCTTCAACTGATAGGTCAAAAAGATACTTTTGATTGTATGTGCAGTTTTGAAAATGGCTAGATACAAGATGTAAAAAGAAGCCTACTAACTTAAATTCATGGTCTATCATTTGTTCTTCAGAAATTCCAGGGTAGATAATTCTGTGCAGAAAAATTCTTCTGACCATTACTTACCCTAATAATCAATTTGCTCTCTGTATACATTCATCACTTCCAGAGAATATTTCTAATACTTGGGAATGCATTAGATTATAGAGAAGTTTCCAAAGGTTATGTGAATTCTTTGGACGATAGTAGTATGAGCATTTCAGAATTTGTTCCTTATGCAGGCATTGGGAATGGAGAATGGGAGAGTTCTTTGTCGTATCTCCTCTAATTTTGAGCGTAATCAAGACATTCTTCTGCAAGCAGATGCTACCTTGCCGTCTCTTCTCTGAACTAACCAGGATTCAGTGGCCACATTAGTGCAGTGCTGCAGCCTGGAGTAATATGTTTGGCCTTTTGGCTTGGCTGCGTTGCTTCTGGAGGGCTGGGGCAATGAAAGATGATGTTAAAAAAAAAAAAAAAAAAAGCAACAACCTCCCCCCAAAAAACTCAAACCACCAAACAAACATCAAAAGTACTCCAAAAGAGCCTTTCTCCTTTTAAGGCACAGGGACCTTCCAGAGTTGAGATACAGGCACTAGCACTGAATGAAATCTTTTCAGCCTGCATGCTACAGCTCTGCAGTGTAGCCATCAAG